CCGTGCTCTTGCGCATCGTATTCGACTTCAGCCAATGAGCTTCAGGCACCAGTGTGCGTCACAATATTAGCGGGAATTTTAGCGGGAATTAATGCAGCCAGTTACCAAAGCAATCATAAAATAGTCTTGATTACTCATAGACAGATATATGAAGAATATTTATTAATAATACTACATTCATTTCACACCGTCATCACGTTCACTTCACGCTCTCCATGTATCATGGCGGTCTGCGACTGATCTGGCTTTTCAATTGAAGTACCGATTGTGTTGCGGTCACGTGTTTTGTGACAAAACCTGGTGCTGCGCAGAACAAGTAAAAATCGGTGCGCCAGAATAACTCACCCATGTATATTCACTATAAGGTCAGTTACCGGTATAAGTGTCAGTTACCGGATGCCGCGAACTAATAGTTAAAATACGATATATGTGTCGATTTATTTTAGTACGTCGAAATAATTCTTCGTTAGACGTTTTCCTCAGCTTATAATGGTTTTAAAATTTGTTTCGTTTTGTGAAAGTACACTTTATTGCACTGAGGTGTTCTTTTTCTCTAAAATAAAGTAGTATTTTCACTATAACCAAGTTATGCGCGAAAGTAGACTGGGTCAGTAAGCTTTTTTAGATCCCCTACTTTTCACAGAAATCAGGAAAGTAAAATTATAGTACCAAAGTGGACAAAAATAGGTTTCTGCTTTGAAGCGAGATAAGTTAAATGATTTTTTCAAGTCAATAGTAGCTACTGACAAGTACCATCATCTTCATTCGCATTTCTAACTTCCTGTCATTCTCAGATGTTTCACGTGCAAACGTGCACATTTTTGCACTGCATTGCATTTTTACTTGTATTACCTGATTATGTAGAACAAACACAGCATCATAAAATGTATAAGCCACTAAAATTTTGTAAATTCTCAAGATATTGTGCAAAAACTACGCCATCTCCAAGACTTTTTACACACAAGATATTTGTGTAAAAGCTACGACAAAATATAAGTTTGTAGCTCACCAAAACAACTGTTTACTTCTGCCACAAGGTTATAATGTCAAATTGTTAATTCTTCTTCTTCTTCTCAATTTCAAGGGTTATGCAGGAATGCCTAACCCTTGAAATGGAGAAGAAGTTAGGCAGGACTGCCTGTTCCGTCTTCACTTTGCACTTCAGGACCATCTATTTCTGGGTCGGCCAATATATCTTTTTCCCTTCGGTTGGTAGTTCATCACTAATTGTGGAATACGATCTTCCTCCATTCTTTCGATATGGCGTCGCCATTCTTTCCTCTTTTCTAAGATCCTTTCATTTATGTTATATATATCTAGTTCTTTACGGATATCCTCTTTTCTTATCTGGTCTTGTTTAATGCAGCCTTTAACTTTCCTAAAAAATCTGATTTCTGCTGCTTGGAGCTTACTTTGGTCTCTTTTTTTTCATTATCCATGATTCACTTCCATACAAGAGAACTGGAGCAGCCATTGTCATATAGAACTTAATTTTTGTGTATTTCCTTGCTTTGTTCTGTAGTGTTTTGTTTATTATTCCACATATTGATTGAAATTTATTAGTTTTATTAACGCGGCCAGGGATTCAATAATGACTGCTCTCTTCACAATTGTATATCTGGATGATATGGAAACGATTGAGCATGCCGAAGGATAAATGATTCATTACGGAGCGACTAAAACAGCTACCGGATGTCAAGAGGCTACGTAATAAAGAGAAATAGGATACAAACTACAACGAAAAAAAAGGAATTGGATATAGCTGTCATAGACGACAAAAAAAAAAAGCTAAAGTACAAAAGATATGGAAAACATTATACGATGATATCTATGGGGAGAACTCAAAATAGACGGGCAGAGTGGGTGTAGCAATTATGGTTAACAAGAGTGGAAAAATAGGATAGTGAATATTCCTTTGTTAAATGAGCAATTGCGACGTCAAATCAAACTAGGGAGAGGCCACTATTTTAAAACTTATAGGCGTGATTGCCCCAGAAGAAGGGAAGGAAGGGAGCACACAGACGTTTTATGACGATCTTCAAAAGGAATAGAAAAAATAAACCAAAGAAATTTCATTCTTCTGTGTGCGAACCTAAACGCCAGGGTAGTAACATTCCGATTCGGGATGTGTGGGGGTATTTGGACAGCACTTGAATTAAAAATGGAGAAGAACTTAGACATTTGCATGTCTTCAAAAGTTGAAAATGCTAATACCTTTTCAGGAAAAAAAAGAAATACAACAATTTCATCCTGGAGTGCCAGAGGCCTTGGCAGATGCACTTGATGGAAGATTATGTAATCGCAAATAAATTAAAATTTAGTAACCAAAAATAGAAAGAATGTTTACCAAGTTACAACTTTGAAGGGATTTTTGTTTGATTTTATATTTCAAGGGAAACCCCAACTTTACTTTTAGTTGGATTTGGGCAAACGATTAGGTAAAAATGTTTTTAGGGGGGCCAAAAAAAAAATTGGGAAAAAAAAAAAAGGGGGGGAAAAAAAAAAAAAAAAAAATTAGGGGGGGACAAAGAAAAAGGGAACCATTCAGGGAAATTTTCAAATTTTCTCATCTCTTTTTT